ACCTACTGTAGAAGAATCCAAGCCCAACAACAACATAGTATATATTTATACTATTAAGAAATATCAGTACTAGCCATTTATTTCAAAAATTGGCAAAAAAAAAAAAAACAGAGCCCATATACGTATATAACATTATTTTTCAAATTCTGACAAAGTAAAACACTAAACCTTGTGACAGGTGCAGTAAAAGATATTCTTCGCTATAGAGTTAAAGGAATGAAATCAAAATTGGCAGCCAAACTTATACCCACACTTATAGCATTGTTAAGAGTTTTACAGCAAATATTCATTCACAAGTTAGCTGGGCCACATATTTTGTTTTACTCACCATCATGCCCCAAGTTGAACCAGTTTGATCACCAACATTTATTTCTTTTGTTTAAGTTGCAAGCTCAATCCTTTTTTTAGCTACACCTTTTTCAAACGTAAGATGTTTTTCATTAGATGTGTACAAACAGTACTAAAACTACTTAAATACATATATTTCATATGTTTTATTCTGTAAGCAAACAAAACAAAGAAGAACAGTTTAAGGAATATTTTGGATTAACGTACAACAAAAAATTATTTAAAACGAAAGTATAACTACATTCTTATTTCAACAAATTGAAGGTTAAAAGCTATATATAGATATCCTTCTGAAATGAAGTTTGTTGGTTGGTCATTTGAAACTTTATGGACCAAAGCATCAGGGATATCTACGGGAAACAATGGGTACTAAAGAGTGAGAAAAACGAAATAATGTAAAACTCAGAAAAGAAAATACACACAAAAATAAAATAAACAAACTATAGTCAATACATACCCTAAAAAAAATCAATCTAAACAATTCCATCATCTCCAAATGCCTATCCAAGATAACAGCAAATTTTGAGATAAAATGTGCCATGATTCGAATGTGTAATGGTTTTGTAAATTTTATTGTTTGATGTTTTAGTAAAGCCTTCTACATGTATGGTGCTATGCTGTTGTTCTTACCACTCTGAAATCACTTAATGTGAGTTCTTATCCAGTTTTCCTGGATACTTAGAAAAAACTGACCATTTTTCATTATTTTCTATCAGTTAATGATACTCAGATCAAAATTGCTCACATTTAGCTTTCATAGCATCAATATGAAAATGAAGGATAGGTTATCAAACACATGGACGATGTGCATCTTAAGTTACCATCTAATTGTAGTTGCTTTGAAAATATTAATTAAACAATATTCAAGAAAAATAAGAAACATAATATTTACTTGTGTTTTCTTTTTTCATTTTTTTTGTGTTTGAAATCTAAGCCTACTTTTTTTATACTAATGATACATATATACTAAATTTTTATTTAATTAAATAAAGCAAACAATGTTTTTTAACTATCATAATTTTCCTGGCTTATTAACTATGTGAAAAAAGCGTTTAACAATTCAGCCTAATTTGTTAATGTGATTCCCTTTAGAAAATACTTAGAACTGTAGATGAATATGTAGAATCCTCTGTTAAATCAGCTGTAATATACATCATGTGAATCTGTAGAGTTCTGTATCAAATAAACCATAATGTTCATCATTAAAAATGGTTGAATTCTCTGCCATATCAGTTATAATATAGGTTATACTATGAATGTATAGAACCATGATGTACATAATTTGAATCCATAGAATTCTGTGTCACATGAGCTGTAATCTTGTTTGTAATGTGAATGTGAAGAATTCTGTGTCATTATTTGTAAGGTATGGAATGTATTTGAGTAGAATTGTCTTTCAAATCGGCTATAATGATTTACATAATGTGAGAATACTATGTCAAATCACCCATAATTTTGTAAACAGTGAGAAATTTTAAAATTCTATATAAAAGCAGCTATACTGTTGGTCTTGGGAAGTTTAACTAACAATTAGGCTCTTGGTCTAGGTAATATTTCCCCAATGGTTTTGAAGGAGGTTAAAGATTGGATATATGAGCCACTTACTACTATTTTTTTGTCAGTCGTTGAATAGTGGGCAGGTACCAGAAGATTGGAAGTTAGCTAATGTAACTCCTCTTTTCAAGGAAGGTGAAAAAATTGTCCCAGTAATTATAGACCCATTAGTCTTACATCAGTTGTTGGAAAAGGTTTGGAAAGTCTGATAAAAGATGCTTTGGAAAGTCATTTAACAAAGTTTAGAATTTTATTTGATATTCAATATGGTTTCACTAAAGGAAAATCTTGCTTTACAAATCTTTTAACAATCTTTGAAAAGGTTACTGCTTATATAGATGAGGGTAAGGGTGTAGATTTGGTGTATCTGGATTTTCAGGAAGTATTTGACAAGATGCCGCATAAAAAGCTTGTAAAAAATTAGCTTGAAAGGTGTGGGGAATAAGTTAGCAAATTGGATAAAAGAGTGGCTGGATGGAAGAAAGCAGAGGCTTGTTACAAATGGAGTTCAATCAAAATGCATTAATGTCACAAGTGGGGTACTTCAGTGATCAGTCTTAGGATCTTTGCTCTTTCTAATTTATATCAATGACATAGATTAAGGGATAGTCAATAAATTACTTAAATTTGCAGATGATATTAAGGTCTCTGGTTTTGCTAGCTGTGATAAGGATGATGCTGGTTTTCAAAAGGATTTAGATCATTTAGTGAGTTGGACAAATAAATGGCAATTGCCTTTTAATTATAATAAATACAAGATAATGCATGTGGGTTATCATAATTTGAATTATAAGTATAATTTGGATGGGAATAACCTTAATAGTGTTATGAAGGAAAGGGATCTTGGTGTGATAGGCAATCAGTCTGAAGACATCCAAGCAGTGTGCTGTTGCTAGTGGTAGGGCAAATAGGATTTTAGGTTGTATCTATAGAAATATTGAATACAAGTCTAAAGAGATTATACTTTCATTGTACAGGTCACTGGTTAGACCACATTTGGAATATTGTGTTCAGTCTTAAGCTCCTTACCTTAGGAAAGACATTGAATTGTTGGAAAGGGTTCAGAGAAGGGTTACTAGAATGGTGTCTGGGATGGGGGATTTCGTATGAGGAGAGTTTGAAATCTCTCAAATTGTTTTCTCTTGAAAAAAAAGAAGAGTTAGGGAGGATATGATTGAGGTGTATCAGATTGTAAAGGGAATTTATAGTATTGATATATCATATCTTTTATATTTAACAGTGAGAATAGTTAGGACTAGGGGCCACAAATTTAAATTTTGGGAAAGACGGAGTAATCTTCAGCTAAGAAAGATTAATGTTTCTAACAGGGTGGTTGGCCTTTGGAATGATTGCCTTCTCCTGTTTTGTAGAGGCAGTAAATTTAAGTGAGTTTAAGAAGAAGCTTGATGAGTATATGAATGAAAAGGGCTGACTTTAAGATTTTTTTTAATTATTTTAATTTAGTTTAGAGGATGAAAAGCTGAGATGGACCAATAGGTCCCATGTTGTCCATTAACATTGTTAAGTAGTATGAAACAATATAGAACTGTGATCTGCAGTTGATACATTGCTTTTTGATATGTATTTCCTTTTTTTTTACTTGTACTACATGTAGTTTTAAATCATCATTTTTTACAGTATTTTATGTATTATTTTTAAAACTACTGAATTTTAAACAAATTAGTGAGGTATAGTTTGAACAAGCACAAACTTTTAAAGGATTGTGTTTATAAGTTAATAATCATTAATGTGTTTTCTTTTCCATGTGTTAAACAACTCTCATTCATTTGAAACAGAAGTCAAATACATATTAAATATAAAACAGTTGTGATGCATATAATGTTTATATTCTTCATTAAAACATTTAACAACATTCATATTATTGTTTACTTACCCTTTCTCTCTTTGTCTAAGGTTGTTGTCGTAGGTAAAGTGAGTGGATTTTCGTTTAAATGTATCAAGCTTTCGTTATTTGGTATCAACGACCAAGTTTACAAAAAATTTATAGTTTTCTTCATAACATATTTTAAATTAATTTTTTTAAGAAGCTCATAATGTTGTGCTTATACTTGTTTAATCATTTTGTAATAGAAAATCTATGAGAAATTATGGAACAACTGAAATGATGAACAATTCAAGTACTAAATGGTTTAAAGGTGTTTCATTAGTTCTGGTGTTGTCATGTTTTTGTGTAGTATTTATATATTAGGTATATCTCCTCAATAGAGTAAAAACCTTGAATTAGATATTAGAAAGAACTGTGTTTTTAAAATTAACACAAGTTTGTATTGGTTTTACATAGTAAAACTTTTATTTATTTTATTCACAATGTTTCACCAGGTTTACCTGGTTTTTGAATGTCCTGGTGAAACATTATGAACAAAATAAACAAAAGTTTTTACTATGTACAACCGGAAAAAATGTGTATGAAGAGTAAAAATCTACCCTCCAGTCATTACATAATAGTTTGAAGTATGTGAAACTGTTGTAAAAATTGTCTTGGTCTCTTACTACACGTATTGTTTCAAAATTGTTAACTCAAATTATGTCACCATTTTCGTAAAAAGATGTAAAACTGATGAAACTTTTAGTTTGATATGAAGTTAACAAGATGATGTGAATTTTGGGCTTTGTAATTACTGAAAACTTTGTAACCTTCTTGAAGGATGCTAAATCTAATTCTCAATCTGTTTCTTTCTAGTCTAATTGAAAGTTTTGATGAGAATATAAAGTGAAGCTTCTGTGTAATTATGGAAGTATTAAATATGAAGGTTGAACCATTTTCTGAAGAAGAACAGAATGTTTTGTTGGATATCAAATTGGAGAAAAATGAACATCAAAGTTCCACAATAACTAGTAGTAAGTAAATACATTTAGAATTATGTTGTGTTATTCCCAACATAAATAGTGTAAAATTTACCTGTTTTAATTTAGAAGCATTCCTAAATTTTTGATTATTGTTTAATAATTTTTCATGTGTGATATTATTTCATGTCCCATGGATTTATATTAATTTAGTCTTTGATTAGATAAACTTGAATCTATTGACACTTTCCTAATCGTATTCTCTACTGTCACCTGTGAGTGGGGTTAAACCTGAGGACTTTGAAGTGTGAAGTAAGTATTAACTGAGATGAATGATTAACCCACTATGTACTGTTAGTAAAGAGCTCTTACGTGATTTTATCAGTGTTATATTTTTTATCTATCGTTATTAAATTTTTTATGTACTAATAGTACATATTTGCCTTTTGTTGCTTTTTCAGTATCGCTTGACTTTAAGTTCTGAATGTCCTTGATGTAGTGCAGTACTTGCATCATACTTATTCACAGTTTTACATTTATCCACTTTAAACAGGAGTTATTAGCTATTTTTGGAAGCTTCTCATTTAACCTGTTACCTGCCGTGGCCATTTTGTTTTATCGTGAGGACAAAATCACATTTGTGAATGGAAAAAATTATAGAGAACTTATCTTTTATTGGATTTCAGAGTTAATTTTGTAAATAGTAGTATAACATTCAATTATTTTTACAAAATTGTATTATTTAATGAAGTATAAAGAGAAATTTAATAAACAAAATCCCAAAATATGTTTGAGACTATAAATAAGTGCCATCTAAGAAGAAAATGTTTTTTAAAATTTTTTCTTCCACTTCAGCGCTGGTCATGCCATCTATGATTGGTATCTAAACCGTTTTCTTCTCTGTTTTTTTTATAAAACAGCATCTGGGTGTGTTAAACCTGAGTTGTAAAACTTTTAGCCAATCTTAGTCGAAGGTGTCAATTTTAGTACTATGTTATTCCAATTGCTGTATTTCACGTTTGACAAATCATAGGATGTTAAGCAAAGCTTATAGTGAAATGTTGTTCTCTGGATTTTACAACATGAATGTGGGTGGTGCTTATTATAGTAACTGCCATTTTATGTAAAGGTTGTATTTAGTATTGGTCAATGGTACTTTTCTATAAGCCTTAGAAAACTTGCTTCTGGAAAAAACTGCATGGGATGTATGTGACTTTTATTATTTTTCTATAGTAGCTTAAGTCATGCTGTATTTGTCCACTTTTCCTTGTCATAACTTCCCAGATATGTTACTTTTTTTTGTGACTATTATAGTTCTTTCCCTCTCCATATTTACTGTTTATGCTATGCAACTTGTAATCCAGTTAAGTTCTGGGATCAGCATAAATTGAACCTTTAATTTGTTTTTTGCTCACCTCTACCCTTGATACTCCAGTCTATTTATTCACAACTCATCAGTGCCTCTTCCTGAATCTGAAATAAATATTAATAGTTGTCGTACCTGCAACAGTTTTCAGAATCCAAAGTGGCTGCTTCCAGCTTTTTCTTTGCTTCAACTAAATTTCTAACAACACAATCTAGCTAAAAATATAGTCCACTGTGATGATATTGAAACCAAGAACATCAGTTTAACATAAGAAAAAACAAATAATGTAACCTTTAAAAGATTTAGTTGAGGATAGTTTAATAAAATTTCTAGTACACATAATTACATAAGGAAAGAAGATTTATATTAATTCAGTTAATTAGTAAAACAAAGAAATTTGTATCTTAAAAATTATATATATATCAATATATAACATCAATTGTCGGTATATAAGAATCAAGGAGTTACCAGTGTAGTACTAAGTACATTCCCACCTCACCAACTATGTCTAACTCACTTGCATTACAATAAAGTTTATTTTGTACAACAATTTTGGAATTGAATGATCTCTCTTGTAGCGTGAGGCTCTGTTAAGGCAGCTTCATTTATTTATGAAATAAACATTTACTTCTACAATTGTTGTAGATGTAATTCCATCCTCTGTGCTGGTACTCCATTAAAGAGTGATGCCCTTTGTAGGTGGATATATAGTGTTTTTTTTTCCATCAAGCATAGTATTTCGAGACATTAAAGATGTGACATTGACCCTTCAGTGGTTGTCTTATAGTTCCAATTAGGAAGGGATGGTGCAGAATTTTCACATTCTTTTATTTTCTTACTAAATATTTCCATTGCAATGACCTTACATTCTGAAAACCATCTATCTCTCTTTGCTTCTTCATGTGGGTCTGTTGACTCGGGTGCTTCTTTGACTTATCAGTTTTGGATAGTGTGTACTTCAACTCCGAATATATATGTACTATATTAAATAACTATTTCTCCCCATTGCGATCTTTCTTCTACCATTTTTTAGAAAATGTAACTTTTGTCTCTGACCTTGACTATCTGTTTAGCCACGATTTGGGACAACAACTAACAATGTGCATGACAGTCCAGGTATATTTTAAGAACCTGCTCTTTAATGAAAGTTGATACTCTTCCATGGACCAGTATATTATGTAAGAAATTATTCAAGGGGCCAGATCAGTTAAATACATTGTATATAATTTGTTTATGATTTACTGATGTATATGTTATATTGTGTCTCGTTATAGAGAAGTCTATATTGTTTGTATGTCTAGCTACAGGAAAAGCTACTTACTTAGAAGAAGAATCTCAACATATTAATTTGAAGTTTGATATGATGAAAGAGGAAAATGAAGATATGTATGATGGAGGTATAGAGACAGCTGTGGTAAGTTGTAGATTAAAACTTTTATGTTTGTGTTATTAAAGAGAATATATAGTTGTAATTATGTCTTTCTGTGGAGACTAATTTGTTATTACATGATTATAGTCACAAGCTGAAGAAATTTGCTACAGGTTTGTTGCACTGCTGTAAATAAACTCTTTACATCTCTTTTTGCAGCAGTGATATTGCTAGTCCACAAGTGTTTCATTGTTGATGTTTCAATAGAACTTACTGTAAACCTTATACTAATTACTTAAGCAAATCTCAACGTCTATAAAAAAAAAATCATGTACAACATTGGATTCTTCTTCTGAGTGTAAACTTCTATTATTCTGCATTGAATCAGTCATAATACTTGCGGTGGTTTAGTATGCTGTATTATATCTAATCTGGAGCACCACCACATCATTTCAGTCCTTACCTGGTGATGCTCAGTCTGACTTTTCTTCTTCATTATAGCAATACAGCTGAGCTTCTACTATAAAAGGCTTTGTTGTAAGGCTGTGATGTTCCATCCTACACTCCTTGCATAGTCCGTCTAGTATACTAGAGTGATGATTTACCAGCACCTTTTAACAGTTCAGTTGCACAGAACTCTATGGGCACTACATCTAGTGTCTTGACCAATATTTCTTTGAATGAAATAGTTTGGTTACTCATTACATTCTTCTCCCGTTGCATGAGGTATGTGAAAGTTGAACAAATATGTTGGGAAAGCCACTTGTATATATATGTGAGCTGTGTTGGTTGGTTAGTTTTTTCTTTTATCCCTCTTGTGATGGGCTTGGTGGATTCCAGTGACTTTTTGACCTCATAGTGTCCATCAGATTTTCACTTCTATGGCTTACATTTTTTTTTGTGTGTGTCTTCACTAAATATGTCAGTCTTTTAGTAAATATTACAAGACTTTTTTTAGGCAAAAAAGTCAATATTTTTCATTAAAAAAATTTCCATTAGTGTGAATCTAGATACATGGAGTCAGGGTGTGAACCACAAAGTGATTTTCATGTTAAGTTTGAAAATATTTTTTCATCTGAAAATTTTAAAATTTCATTTTTGTAATCTCTAAAACCTCCTAAATAAATACCAGTCATTTTTTAAAATCAAAATATATTTCATCTGTTATTTTCTCTACCCTAACTCTGTAAATGCTTGATCAATTTAACTGACCTTGTCACCACCATAAAAAATATAAAATAAACTTAGACTAACATTTTTCATACCACATTAACTGCATATTATACCAGAAAAATTGTTTATCCAAAATAGTTTATAGCTCATAATTGTGTACTTAATTCTGTTGCTTTATTGACCTTTGAACCATGTTAAATGAATAATCCCATCACACGGTTTTTTACTATTGAAAATTTAAGTAGTATTCCACATCTTGAACAGTTGATAAATAGAAGCAAGATCAAACAAGATGACTGCATTAATTCTGAGATGGTTAAAAAAAAAAAATTTAATAACT